CTGTAAATTCATTCTGTCACCTCATTTTTAAATTTCCATTATTACTGGAGCAAGGTCCCATGCTAGCCAGTACAATGCTGGAAAATTAGAAAATTTAGGGCTTTGTTTTAGTGGAACATCCAGTAAAACAAACAAACAAACAAAACTAAAGCTATGTTTGGGAAACATTCTAACAAAAAATTAAATAATTCAGGCTAAAATTCTCCAGGGTTTCTGCCTAGAATTATTTAGATTTACTATTAACAAGTGAACTGTCAATCTATGCATCAGTTGGATCCCACAAATTGATTTGGACTTTCGATACTTATTTACTCTACTAGTAAAACCATACTTTGGTTTTATGTTGCTAATCTTAAAAACTTCTATTTAACAAAATCTAAGAAAGGGTATATTACAATAAAAAAGAAAGAAATAGAAAATACACTTAAAAGTTTAAAACTTAATTGAACTTATCCATTAAAAAATTGTAATCCATGGACCCTATAGTGGGTACAAAAAATAGTAAAATAAATGAGAGAAAGGGAAATCAGGGCAGAAATAAGTTAATCATATTCAAATTATCTTTCAAATGGATAAAATTAAGTTAAATATTTTATTAGGAAAATTATGAATAAGAATCTTTAAAAAACTGATGCCAATGGAAGTGATCTGGACTTATGTTCACATTAGATTATAATCTTAAACTCCATTCATGTTGGAGGTATCACTGCACTCTGAAAATGTTAAATTACATTTTGGGGAGATATTGCTTCTTTTAGATTAAGCCTAACTCAGAAAAGGGAAAGATACAATTTCATGCATCCTGGTCACAGAACACATTTTTATAAATATGCTGATAACAAAGTACTTTATTAAAGTTTAATTAAAAGAAAGAGAAGCAATACTGTTCATAACTATCTCATTAACCTTGCTCCTCCCCGTGCCCTAAGAGCCACAACTAAGTGGTTACTCTAGTGTCCTCTAATCTTTGTGGAGGCCCAGAACCCATTCAGTAGCTTTTATTACTACTGGTCACAGGAGACTGAACTGCTATCTACTGTTCCTTGGTTTTCTCATAGCTAGTACCTTCGCCCAATCATAGAGATATCCATATGACATTTGAGAATTCCTGCTGTTAATGGAACCAGCCTGAGAAACTCTCCCTTGATCTGGCCAATGAGTGAGTTTTTGAAGTTAGCAGCCCTTAAAATTGTGGGAAAGATAGTGATTGCCCCTCCTGAGGGTGCTTCTATTCTCAGCAATCAGAGGAAAACTTCCACACATTTCAATCCACACATATCCCAACCCCTGCATCTAGATGCCCTGCTCTTCCTCTTTCTAGCATGAATTAACCATCTGTGTTTCTAGCTATGGCTCCTCTCTATGCGAGGGAGCTAATCTTCTCTTTCCTACTCAATAATATCACTTCAGAAATTCTCCCATCTCTCTTGCCTCTCTTTTTCTACTGGATTATTCTCCTCAGCATAAAACACCCCATTAATTTACCTACTTTAAAACTGCAGCTCTTAAACCCACATTTCCTAATACAGTGCATCATTTCTCTGCTTCCCTTTACAGCATAGTAAGATTTTTTAAATCACATAAATTCTTTGTGCAACACATATTCTCCTTTCCTTTCAACCCTGCCTCAACCAGGTTGAAACTCAGCCTCATCACACTTGACCTCCCTGCCACATTTGATGCACTGGATTACTTTCTCCTGTTGAATTTCTTGCTTATGGGCTTCTCATGTTTTCCTCTCTTTACATCTGTTCAGTCTCAGTCTCCATGACCTATCCTTGCTCATTTCCTGAACCTCTTAATGTTAGAATATACAAGACTTTAGTTCTTACATCTCCCCTCCATATATCCAGTCATAAGAATTCATCTATTCCCATGGATTAGATATCAAAATATAATGTAACTCCCCATTCATATCTCCAGCCCAGACCTCTCCCTGAACTTCACATTCATATATCTGACTAGTTATTTGACATCTCTATTTGGGTTTCTAATAAATATCTCAGGTTCATACTCAAAATTTATTCTTTCTCTTCCTCCCTCACAACAATATCTGCTCTTTCAGCAGTGTCTGACAGCTTAAAAATTGTTAGTTTCATCCTGCAGACTGTTCAGCCCTCGGAACCATCCTTGGATCCTTTTCTTTCCCCTTTTGTTTCACATGCAATCTATCAGCAAATCTTGTATTGGCTCAGCCTTAAGACTAATCAGAGTCTGATTGCTTATGGTGAGCTCCACTGCTGTCACATTGCTCAAAGACACCATACTTTCTCATCTGGATTATTGGAAACACCTCCTAACTGACCTGCTTGCTTTGCTGCTCTTCTCTTCCTGAAATTTATTATTAACACAGAACCCAGACTTTTCCTGGTAGATACTAAGTCAGATGTGTAAACACCTAGGACAAAACCTCCCATGCCTTTCTATCTTATGCAAAGTAAAAGCTAAAAGTCTAAGGATGGCCTGCCAAGCCCTAAGGATCTGATACCCTTTCTTCTTTGACTTCATCTCCTACTCCTCTTTTCTCGTTCTCTTTCCCTTTCAGCCATATTGATCTTTTTGTACTTCTAGCACACAGGGAATGCTTCTACCTCAGGGCCTTGGCATCTGTTGCTGCTCCCACCTGGAAAGCCCATTCCTCCATTGTTCATATGCCTGGATCCTTCCTCCGTCTCAGGTTTTGCTCAACTGCCATCTTTTCAGAGAGGCCTTCCTTGGCCACCATACTCAAAATTTTAGAACACCCCCCTAAACAGCCTACACATTTCTTATCCTTTTATTCTGCTTTAATGTTTTTCCAAAGCACTTTAAATATCTGACTTTTTCTTTTCTTTTTTTTTTTTTTGGTACCAGGGATCGAACTTGGGTCCTTGCACTTGTGAGGCAGGCGGTGGAACCACTGAGCTAAATCCCCAGCCCTAACTTTTTCTTATGTTACATCCCAATCACCTAGAACTGTGCCATGCACATACTGGGTGCCTAATAAATATTAATTGAGTGAATGCCAATGCATCTTTAAGAAAATAATTACTGTGTCTCCTCCCAATGTGGACATTAGAACAGTGGTGGGCCAGAGGGCAGGAACTACCTTCAGAAGAAGAAACACTCTCTGAGAGGTAAAGTTTCCCTTCTTAGGCTTGAAGAAATAAAATCAGGCAAAAATCTTAAAAGAGAAAAGATCACATACATGAGAAGACAAACTGTGAGTGGCAACTACAAAACCAATAGTCAAGTGAGGGCCCCAAATCTTTGGGTTCAGATCAGAATACAGGATAGTTGTTTAAAGGTATAAAGATTATAATAAGGAAATGTCAGGAATTAGTAGAGATTTGGAAATATAATTATTGATGCCAAAATACAATGAAAGAACTCAGCAGTTTAGACACAGCAAAAGAGAAGAAATATAAGAATTTAACCAGCATTTACTTAAGAGATATAACAAAATGGAAAATATGAGAGAAAGATTAAGAAACAATGAGATAAGTGAGATCTAACGTATGGATGATTGATGTCTCAGGAAGATAAAAAGAAAATTTGGGAGGAGAAATATTTCAAGTGATGGGAATTTTGCACATCTTAAAAGCTATTGTGTGAATTTAGAAAATTCCAAGAAACATGGTATACCTCAATGAGGATACTAAAAAGATGTCCATGCTTACAGACATGGCAGAGAAACTAAAAATGCCAAAGGCAACTGGATCTTTAAGATAGCCATAGAAAATGAGATTTAGCTCAGTGGCGCTGCACCTGCCTCCAAGCACAAAGTCCTGAGTTCAATCTCCGGTACCAAAAATAAAAATAAAAAGGAAGTTAACATACAGTGGAATACAATGTAAAGATAATGATAAAATATGCATATTACATAATATGCAGTGTTCTCTTTTTTTGGTACTGGGGATTGAACTCAGGTCCTTGAGCTTGCACAATATGCAGTGTTCTTCATAGATGTTATTCAGTAAGAAAAGTAAAATATTTATATATCTAAAATGACTACTATCAAAACACTTACTTTGAAATAAATTTTAAGTTATTTCAAAAATAAGGAAAAGTGTTCTAGAAAGACAGTCTGGGATATAAGAAAGACTGGTATACAAGAAGATGGTAAATATTGAGATGAATTATAGTAAGCATTATGTGTATAAAATTATGATGATGGTTAAGACACTTTGAAAACCATTTCAGAATTCCAGTACCTCTATGCCAACATTAAAATCTCTCTTCAACACCTGTTCTTCTGTAGCCCTCACAGAGTTTCATCCCATGTATACTCAGCTTTATATTTATTCAAATTTCAATGAGACGAATATACATTTCTAAAGTTCTTTATTTGTACAATTCTCAACCTCCAAGCACCTACTACACAAATTCCAGCTACGTTAGCCACACTGAAAGTAGATCTGTTTTTTTTTCTGCCTGGCACAGTATTGCTTTCTATTTGGGATCCACTTATCTGTGCTATAATTTGGATAGTGTCCCAGAAAAAATAAAAGCAAGAATAAATATCAACCTCACCTTGTGTAGGTCCCTTTCCTCAAAAATGCCTTGTGCTTTCTGTTATCCATTGCCTGAAAATGGCTGCTTCTATATATTTTGTACAGGTTGATGGTTAGTCAAAGAATAAATTGCTTATTACTCCTTTATGCCAAGTATGAAGACCTAATTCATTAACTTTTAAGCTTATACTCTTATGACTATAAATGATGTTATAGGATATAAAGATATTGATTTTCTTCAAAGCATTATTTTCACTGCATTCCCACAAGTTTTATACTTTTGATGTAATTCAGTTCCAAGATTTTCTTTTTTCATTACTCATTATGGTTTCTTCTTAGATATAGGGCTTATTTAGCTGGATTTCCCCCTGTGATCTGTGGATGGAATCTCCTATCCACAGTGTAGTGTTTGCCCCTGGCCAACTCCCTTTCCACAGATTCTGTACTTTGGCCATAGCCATTCACAGATTTAAAGCCTGCTCTGTGTCTTGTTTCCCCTAAGCACAGGGGAGCAGAGCTGCCAAAGAACTAACCAACCTGATCTTGGACAAGGTCAATGAGCTGGAAGAGAAGGTAAGCTCCACAGAATCAACAGCTCCAGGAAAAATAACAGACCAGGCCAGCAGCACTAGCCCAAGGAAAGTTCATGGCTATGGTAAACTATAAAACTATAAAAATAGTGTGGCGTTTTCCTCCAAAAGTGATTCCTTCATAACAGGAAAGAGTTGGAAAAAAAAAAACCCAGTACAGCCCTGACCATATTTCCAGAGAGTTTCTAATCAGGCACTATTTTGGAAAGGTGTTAAGACTGAGCCCCAGAACAAGTACAGAACAACTCAACTTCAGGGTTCCCAGTGTTACCCTCCCACAGTGACTTGGTGAGAGACAGACCTGGGAGACAGCCATAAAGCAGAAGCAGCTGAGACATTGACTGCCTGAGAAGTTTAAACTCAGGCCAAGAAGGACATGGGCCATGCCTTCTGTGGTGAGAAACCAAGCCCAGTGAGTGATATGCAGAGACAGCTGGACATGAAAGAGCTGGCATTATGCCTAACTGTCTGTTTGCACATTTAGTCCATTGGCTACATCCAGTAAAGACCTGTGGTTAGTTTGTTTTCCCCATTTATAAACATGAAAAAGGACATGCTTTGGCTTGAACAGTTGGCTGTCTTGGTTGTATGGCCCCCAGCAGTGGGGGAACACCTCACAAACCCCACAGGCTGTAAAGCTAGGTGGAAACAATGGTGACTTGCTGGATTCCAAGACTGAAGATCCTAAAAAGAAATTATTCATTCAAAAACAAAGATAATCTAATACAATTAATTTTCTTTTACTCCACAACAGGATCATTCATCTCACTTTTCTCATCTCCTTCTAATCTTCCATTGGCTAATTTTTCAAATTCTACACTTTTCTTTCCAAATTCTACACCTAACTGTTAATACTGTTCCATTGTTACTAGAGGTATAATGGTTCCATTTATGAGATATTTACTATATATAAATATTTGGTTTGAAATAGTGTTTATACTATAATTAAATATCTGTTTTCCATGGTTAAGAGTAGTATATTAGTGGTTTCTAAGGTATGTCAAATCCAGTTGTTTTTTACACTATTACTGTTGCTGATTTTATTGCTATGGCCAAGGTGACATTCTTGTTGCTATTAATTGGCTTTCTCTATATGCCTTTGTGTCATTAACAATACTGTGGGTCATGACCAGGGATTTAGCTCAGTGGTTCTGCTGCCTGCCTCACAAGTGCAAGGTCCCAAGTTCAATCCCTGATAGTGAAAAAAAAAAAAACCCAAAAACTACAGGTCATTCTAAGAGAACTGGGTGGTGGGCCAAATACACTTCAGCCTCCCCTCCTAAATAAATGGAGGTGGTTGGATCTTGGAACAGAGGCAAAGGCCTCTGCTAGCCATGCCAGAGAGCATCACTGAAAAGGAGACACCAACTAAAGAGGTCTTTATACTAGCAACAAAGTATTCCCCTAGAGCCAACTGCAAACCTCAGCACAAAAATAAACACAAACACAAAAATAGAAACATGAGAAGAAAAGCAGTAAAAGGTCTCCCCAAACTCCCAACTCTCCCAAAGTTGGTTCCATGGGGAATCAAGGGGGAAGAAATCAAAATCACACAGTCAAATTAGACACAAGGATAACATAGGAGCTTAAAAGGGAGATCAATGAGGTATTCAGAAAGCTCAAAAAACATATAAAAAAAGAGAAAGTGGACATACTAAACAAAACAATCAGTGAGTTTACAAAAAACAATAATAAACTGAGCTAAGTAAAATGACACAAAACATGAAGGATTCATTCAGCAAAGAATTAGACTTCATGAAAAGACATTAAACACAAATTCAGAAGATTAAAAATTCTATTGAAAGTATGGGCAGTAGAAGTGATCAATGGGAAGACAGAGTGTCAGAAATAGTGATAGGGCTGATGTTGGTTACAAATTATTCAAAGATACCTTAAAAACAAGAGAATATGGAAAATAAATCCAACAGATGCTAAATGGCGCAAAGAAGACTAATCTAAGATTAATTGGAATTAGTGAAGACAGAAAAAAAATGGCATAAAATATTTTTACTGAAATAATATCAGAAACTTTCTAAATATTGGGAAATGATTTAACATTCAAATAAATGAGGCATGTAGAAATTCAATTTCTATGATCAGAAAAGAGTTTCCTTACAACACACAATACTTAAAAATGCCAGAGGTCAAACACAAGGATCAAATCCTAAAAGCTGTTAAATAAAAGCAACAAACAAATGATAAAGGTAAAGACATCCAAATTATCACAGACTTTTCAATACAAATCTTAAAGGCCAGAAGAACTTGGAGTAAAGTGTTTTTAATCCCTAATGGAAAACAAATTCAAATCCAGACTGATATATTCCTACAAAACTATCTTTCACAATTTATGGATAAATAAAATATTTCCACAAAAAAATCAGCGAAAGCAATTCATAACTAGCAAACCATGATAAAAAATTCTCAAAGATATTTCAGAAAGAGAAAATGGGAGAGCTGCCAACAGCGCAGAGGAAGTGAACCTGCGGGGCCACCATACCACCACCCCCAGCACTGAGGTGAACCCTGGGGACACCAGCAGCACAACCTAGCCCTCCACTTAAATGAGAAGACACATAAACAAGTTGCAAAACCAGATTCCAGATAGCCTAAAGCAACTCCAAAGGGAAAGGAGATGGAAAAATCTTGTACTCAACCACTTGGACTCCCTGAACTGGCAACAAAAGAGGATCTGGAAAAAAATGAAATCAGAAATAATTTCTCAGATAACAGCAGAGATTGTGCCCATAGTGCAAGACAGGATTAATAAGTCTGAAGAGGACACAGATAAAAAA